CCCCCCACTAACTTTGTTTTTTTGCAGGTTACCGTTGGAGAGCAAAAAGGAGAAAAAAAACAGTACCGGAACCGGTGCCGGTAACGATTTTGGGGCACCGGAACCGAGACCGGATGTGGCGGTACCGGTGCCGGTTCTCGGAACCGTTTCGCCGTTCCGGTTGCCGTAACGGTGCTCGGTACCGGCGGTACCGTTTCCGGTGACGGTACCGAATCGGTACCGTGTCCAGCCCTATGCCATACCAGTTGTAATGTTATTGTCCTTTCGTCCGCCTCTCCATTTATTTTACATTATTCCTCAATTTTAATTAAAAATTCACAGAAATTCAAAAAACGCAATAAAAAATCAATGAAATATAAAATATGTAACAACGCGATTAAAAAAGTAAAGAATAAAAAATATTAGTGATAAAGACTATTGCAAAGTAATAAAAATAATAAAGAAATCGAAAATAATAAATTAAAAATTAAATAAAAGAACAACATAAATTAAATTTAATATTTAATTACTGCCGGGAAATTCTTTTCACACAAAAAAGAAAATTACTGCCAGGAAAGCAGTCAAAAAAGCAAAAAGAATATGGAAGGAGGGGTCCACATTTTGCAAGTCGCCATTCCAATGGCTTTATTAGGAAAAGAAACGACAATGAAACGCTTGTCCTTTTTTTTTACCGCACTATTTATACCACGTAATATTGTCTTGTCCCTCAGCATAGCCACAAAGTAAAAATTCAAAGGATACGATGAAAACCCAAAATATTATTGTTTCCTGTGCTTTTGTTGTTTTCCTCTTCATCTTCTCCCAAACAATTTCGGGTCGCCTTTTGCTGGAAGACAAACAAGGTAAATTATCTTATTGTATAGAATTGAAATTTATATGTAAAAAACTATTTATATACTAACTTTATCTTATACTCATATTGAGTAGTTTACTCCTAAAATTAAACTAATTATTACTGCATCTACTTTCTTTCTTCTTCTTTAATTTGTTTTTTTCTTCAGAGAATGAAGGTGGGGTGAAGCTTGGAAATGAGGTCACCCCAACCGTGAAGTCTGAATACACTGATTCTCTAGAGGTAAAATTCATAAAAAGTATAGAAATTCGTATTTATGTAGCTTTACTTTTTCAAGTTAACCTAACAAATTTTACGTTAGAGTATAAAAAAAATAAAAAGTTTCGCGTGCAAAGTTTGAAGCAGTCACGCCTGCACGTCAGGAACATGTTAGAGCATAAAAAGAATTCTAAGTCACAATTACAAGCTTAAACTTTTGGGGTTAGAAAATGAATTCTCCGAATTTATATATGAGTGAATAATTTTATTCGACACGATATGCAGGAGTTGATGGGGCTCGAGATATGTGAAAATAGAGATGAAGAATGCATGAGGAGAAGGCTCGATGATGCTCTTCATTTGGATTACATATACACAAAAAATAAAAAGCCACAAAATTAAACCATCTACGCCATAAAATTAAACCATATAGTCAATATGTGTTATTAGTTTCTTCTGGGCAATATTAGGAAAATTTCATTTGTTACATTATTTTTTGACATCAAATACACCGGTACGAACCGTCATTTTTACAAACGGAGCACTACTTGGAACACTATATATATATATATATATATATATATATATATATATATATATATATATATATATATATATATATATATATAAACACATGTGTGTCCTCTTACTGGTGTCAAATTAAAATAGTGTTCCGAGTGGAATTTCCCGAACTTTTTTCATATATGATTCGCCTGCGCAATATTTATATTAATTGGCACCTCCAAAATTGATATTTTTGTTGCTTTTATTTCTAAAAACGTACTGATATGAATTTAATCTCTGGTCCCAAGCACTAGCTAGCTGATCATGTCTTGTATGTAAAAAGCAAATACTGAGTATTAATTATATACATTTGTTTTGTTTGGTAATAACATTTTTGATGAGCGTTATTAAATGTGTATATTAACTTTAAAAAATTAAACGTTAAAAACTACTATTGAATATGATAATATTTTCAAAGTCGTGAAACTAAATATAATGATGTCTTCAATATACCATTTCAAAATGTTGAAACTAAATATAATGATGTTGAACATAATGATCTTTTGAATATGTTGGATTTATTGAAGGAAGAACACTGCGAAGCAGTGTTGAACGAAGAACTCGATAAAATAACGAATCGCGTACGAAACGCTTTCAGATCAAAGTTATTTCGGGGTATACGAAATACTTCAATCGGATAAGACGTTAATTTAGAACAAGCACTCGAGAATCTATGTCACAACCCATACCACGAGACTCTATTTTATAGAGTCGAAAATTCTTGTGATCGGACATGAACGTTCGCGTAGATGTACGCGTATGTTCGCGTAAGAAGAAAAAGTTGGGAGTTTGAAACGAAAGGTCTCATGCGGTTGAAGGCTTAATTTCGACGTTTATCCATTATGTACGAGTCCTTTACCGTTTTGGACTCCGGTCACGAAAATCTTAAGGATTTTCTTAAAGAAACAACGTCCGAAATAAAAAATTTCTCACCAGGAGCTCTGCCCCTTGGACCCCGCTACCCGGGGGCTGCCGCCCCGGACCCCTGCAGTGAATTTATAATATCGTTGAACGAGCGCGCACTCCGCGCCTCCTAACTTGTTTGACAACGTCTATTTAAATTCTTGTCCGATCAAAGTAAATCCAATTACACAAAATAAATTAATGACACTAAAATCACCAACAGAATATACCATTTTAAATATGGTCATCAAGTTAGTCTATTTTACACATTAGGTAGTTTCTTTAATGATTAGCAAAATCACACTTTTGACTCTCAGAATATCACTACTTTGGGTTTTGGATCCTAGACAAAAAAAAATAGAAGATGGTGATGTTAGTATTTTTTTAATGGAAAATGTTAAGGTGTCTTCAAATGGTTACTATCATGGGTGTACTCAAGCTTCGCACATACAAATTGTTATCAATTGTATGGTACAGATGATTATCATATGTGTCATCTGTACAAAGTTTGGGTGCACTTATTGTAGCAAGCATTTGGGGCACCATATATAGCATGACCCTTTTTTAATTAAATACTAAATATAATCTCATAGAGGTGAAACAACCAACTAAACCAAACGGTCAATCTTGTAGTTCTGGCAAGGCCCAAAAAAGGTTGTATTCTAACATGCCTTTCACGTGCAGTTGAGATATATTTTTCTCGTGTCCTGCACGTGTAGATTAATTTTTTTAAAACAACTGGGTGTGAGGTTCGAACTCGTGATCTCATGGTGATCAAGACTCTGATATCAAGTCAAAGAATGAATTCAACTAAAAAGTCAAATTTGTAGTTGTAGACTCGAGGAAAGTGATATACTCCAATACATAATACTTCCTCCGTCCCAAAATGTTTACCACATTTCAAAAAACGAAGTAAAATATCAAAAAATAATTAATTCATTTTATTTAAATATTGGTATTGAAATAAAAAATAAAATTTACATATTTAAAAATTGCATGAAAAATTCTTCGAAATAAGATGTGTAAACAATGTTTCATTTTGTCAAATAATAATTGAAAACGTACAAATAAACAAAAGTTTTCGTGATGATTGGAAAAGGAAATGTGGCAAATATTTTGGGATGGAGGGAGTATATTTCTTCAATAAATTTCATATTTACTAATCCCTCCGTTCCTAAATGATTTACATAGTTTACTATTTTAAAATCACAGGAACTTTTATTTATTTGTATTTTTATTGATTATATGACGAAATTTAATGTTGTTGTCATCTCTTATTTTGTAAAACTTTTGATGTACTTTATAAATATGTAAGTTTTATTTTCTATATATTTATATACTCCTTCCATCCCAAACACGTCTTCTCATTTTTTTTCTTGTCCCGCAAACTCTTTTCATTTTCTATTAAAAAACTACTTTTACTCCTACTATTTCTTAACTTAACTATCACATCATACTTTTTTACTAATAATTTATCTATCACATTCTACTTTTACCCATCACATCAAGGATATTTTTGGAAAATCAACACAAAAATATATCTTCCTTAAGTTTCTCATTTTTTTTCTTGTCCCACAAACTTTTTTCATTTTCTATTAAAAAACTAATTTTACTCCTACTAATTCTTAACTTAACTATCACATCATACTTTTTTACTAATAATTTATCTATCACATTCTACTTTTACCCATCACATCAAGGATATTTTTGGAAAATCAACACAAAAATATATCTTCCTTAAGTTTCCTAAAAACTAAAATGGAAACATCTTTATAGGATGGAGGAAGTACCAATCTCTAAGTAAAATAAATTGAAAAAACTTAAAATTTTAATTCGTTTTACGTAAAGATGTAAATGATTTAGGGACGGAGGGAGTATCTAATAAGATATTCTTGGTACTCTGAAAATTGAATAAATGTAGACACAAAGTGAGTTTATATTCACACTTTTTAATGTATCAATAATATCTTTCTTATTAGACAGTTTATATGAAATGGAGAATATAGCTAGTAACTATAGATAGGTATTTTGATAATTAATGTGGGTATTTCTTTATACCTATAAACTGGTCAAAAATATTACTCCCTCCGTTCCACAAAACCCTTCCGGTTTTGACTTTGGGGAAAAATAAGGAAAGTGTAATTTTGGTTGACTTTCTAATTTTGCCCCTGATGTGATGAGAAAAAAGTAAGATGTGATAGTTTGGTTATTAGTGAAAAAGTATGATATGATAGGTAGGGTATGAAAAAGTAGGGGTAAAAGTGGTTTTTTAATAGAAAGTGGAAGTGTTTTGTGGAAAACAAAAAAATGAAAGAGGAAGAGTTTTGTGGAACGGGGGGAGTAAATTATAAACGAACTGATGACATATTTCTCTGTGCTTATAAACTGTTAATAAGTAAAAAAATTAAGTGAGTCTTTTTTGCTTATTTTTAAGTTAGTTTTTTTGTTTCTTCATTTTGACCGAATTATTGACAAAACTATCCTTCACCATTTAGGAATATCACCAAAATGATTTATATGTCATTTAAGTCAAATTATTTCCACAAAAAAATATTTAAACCTATAAGCATCTTAGAAGTTACGTTAAAAACTATTTATCGCCATTAATAAGTGAATAAATATAAGCACAAAGAAACACCTTCAATATAACATATTTGTTGATGAGCATAGACACTTAGAACATATTCTCTTTTATACTCCGTATCTCTTATCATTTAATCATTTATGGAGTATAATTTATCCTTTTCGGAATCAGATTAAAAATAATTTTAAATATAGCATAAATTACAACATATCAAATCTTAATAAAATAAGATCCAATATGATCTTAATGTTAATACTCCGTATTTTTTAATTAGCATATATTCATTCTAAGAAATGCTGATTCTAATGTAAAAACACAAACAAAAAAAGTGGGATTCTTTGTTGTTTATAATACTCTATCTCCCCATAGAATTATATACTTCCTCTGTCCCTAAAATAATTTTCATTATTGACTTTTTGAAAAACTAGTATTCTGACCCATGCCATGCACGGGGTCGAACAAAATTTATGTCGATTCTGAATTATTTCAATACTACAGATGATTTTTATTATTACATTGCTCACATGATTTTTAATACTACAGATGAAAAATGCCAAAGTAAAAATAAATAATATTTGAGGAACTGAATGTAGAGTTAACAATATTTATTTTAATACCAAATTTCCTGAAAGACTTCATAGTATACAACATTTTTGATATAATTGCAAGGGTTTTTATTGTCATCTAGAACCAATATCTTTGATTATGTCTTCACTTGTGAAACAATAACATAAAGTTGACCATGTGTGAACACTGACTTGGTGAAAAATAATCCCACAAATGACAATGTTTAACCTTGACTTTTGTTGATAGTCATAGCAAAACATAAGGCGATTGGGAATTGTATTCTTTGGAACTTCAAGGGTAGTCCTGGACCAGATGGTACCAAATTCATTCTAGGGATGTAAACCTTTTCCTCGACTCGATTTCCCGAAACCACAATTGCACCGATAACATTATTTCGCAGCTCTTTAACGATTAATCTTTTCTCATTACACAATCCAGATGTTTGGTCAATGTTCTTCAATAGCATAATCGGTACCCCTTTTATCAAGACTATTTTGTGGTTTGGGATTCTCGAACATTTGATTTCGTTCAAAAACTCAACTGTTATCCAATCGCCATCAACACCTACATCCGCATCTTCTTGGAACAAAGAATCCGAACTCGAGTACTCATTTTCATCGCCATAAATAAGGAACAAGAAAAATTCATTTATCATTTCAACTAAGAAATGTTGATTCTAATGTAAAAACACAACAAAAAAATGGGATTCTTTGTTGTTTATAATACTCTATCTCCCCATAGAATTATATATACTTCTTCCGTCCCTAAAATAATTTTCCTTATTAACTTTTTCAAAAATTAAAGGAAAGATATTTTTATGTTAACTTTCTAAAAATACTCTTGATTTGATAAGTAAAAGTAAGATGTGATAGATAGATTATTAGTAAAAAGGTATGATATGATAGGTAGGGTATGAAAAAGTATGAAGTAAAAGTGAGT